AGGTTGCAAAGTAGAGCACATGAGTAACTGACAACAAGCCGCTTCTTCTTCTTTTTTTCTAAATGTTTCTTGATTTTTAATTGTGCTTAAACATTGGAAACCTGTGGGCATAGCTTAGGGTAATTAAGACACATTAGCTCTGCAACATATTTCGCTAACACTTCAAGATTTTCAAAAATAAAACATGTGATTGTGAACAGTGAGACCTGTTAGAATTAGAAAAAACCTCTGTAGCTGAGAGGAGACGCCTGTTCTGTTAAAGGTCTCTATTTGTTATGTACGTGCCACGAAAGGTCAAAATGAAAAATGTAGAACAAACTCGTAGAACTCAGGATGTCTGTGATTCTGTGTGGATTGTTGTCCATTTACATCACGGCGGGAGAGAACAACGATTGCTGAGAACTTTGTTCTGCATGTTGAGAAAAAACACGATCAACCCAAAGTTAGCAGAAACTGGTTTTGCTTCAATGTTATAGAGACTTACAACAAGGCCACAGCTAGCTTAGAGTGCTACAATAAATAACTACAAATCTAAGTACTTATACTGTAATTACAGTCTGTCATTTTAAAGTAAAGCTTTCTCCACCAGCAGGTTACCAGTGGCTGTGTTCACATTTTCAGATCGGTTTGTTTCTAGCACAACCCCGGTTTCCTCAAGGCTCTGCCTGCTAGCATGTAGCACCTCTCCGGGGGGTTGTGAGGTTTCCTTTGGTTATTGCTGAACACATTTGTCTCATGTTCCTCTGGATCTATCTGCCAAAGTGAACAAAGAGTCCTGGTGTTTCTGCTCTTACATAACTATCAATATGTTCACATTTTGCATGTTTTCCAAGACAGTGAAATGATTACAATCATCTTCTTTATTTCAAAATGCTTTAGATTTTTCCATCATGTATTTAATCATCAAGCAGATGATCAGTGATGGAAATATGAAACACCATCTGTACTGACAAACATGCTGATGTTATATTCACGTGCCTCAGCATCACCTTTCCTGTTTTTGTTCCCGTAGCCACAGTGTGGTGACTAAACCACAGAGGAGAACTTACACAAAGACATGAAGAACAAGCAGACAGGTGTACACAGAGCAGGTCAGAAGAGGAGAAAGTCCGACTGCTGTTATGTACATAAAGTGTTCAGGGGAGGTGAGAACTGGCAGGAAGGAGGATTATTTATTCAGAAACAATTCACGTATTTGCTATTCAGAAGGTTAACAGGACTACATGTCATCGGATGGTCACTGTGATCATGTGCTGGAAACCAAATACAAAGGACAAGAAGCGCCGCCGCGTGGTTAAGCCTCCCAAATTCGTTTTGTAGTGACTATATTAGATTAGACACCGCTGCCACCTCAGGGTGATGTCTCCTTAACTTGATCTATTGAAGCTCTTTGTCTGCCTGGTGACGCTGGAGCATCAGCAGCCCTCCCACAGGGCCTGTAAACATATCACTTCACAACGAGTGTTCACACTCTCTGCCATCTGTCCCCTCACATTCCTGTCCTCACCGTTTCTGTCGGCCACAATCCCATGCCATTCTTTAAAGGTACAATGTGGAGACTGATGTGAACCTCGTGTCAGTGTGGAAAAATATAGACAGGAAGTAGGGGCAGCTGGCCTGGCTTTGTCTGCGGTGGGAAAAAGAGCTGGATCAAAGTTTGAGTTTGGACTGCACTGAAAGTTAGATCTCATCAACATGTGGATATATTATGTGAAACACCCAAAACAACAGAGAGACAGAGCGAGTGACTGGGTTCTAATGTGTATGCAGTCGATGCAGTTATGTATGCGGCTCGTACTCGAGGCTCTAAAAGGGACTGTTCACATCTGTGAAGCTGTGTCCTGTTGTCAATCTGTCTGAAGCACCAGCAGCATTAGTGACTGCA